AAACAATGAAGGGAGTACAGGAGGTCTTCACTATACTGTATGTTGTTACGGTATACAGTATGTCATTTCACATATGTCATTAACATATATAGGAAGAATTTTTCATTATATGTCAATTGTTTCACATATACTGTACATCGTCTGCATCATCCAATGTTTTATACTAATTCTGTGTATACCTGAATATGATGTATAAAGTGTTCAAAACCATCTAACACTAATGCCATTGTTATGTGTTAAGTAACCACAGAATTTAGAGAAAATATATTTCAATGTGCTAGTGTGCCTTATAATTAAAGAAAATACAGGTACTGTATCCCCCTATTTACAATGGGGTTAAGATCCCCGAAAACATCAACGCAGGTCGAAATATCGTAAATCAGGATCATTACAACAAGGAGTTCAATGGGATAGGTTCCTGGCCAGTTAGATACCCACATGTCTAACCGAAAAATAAAATCCTACATATTGTTGGACTTTTTTTCTTCAGTACTGTCTGTATAAAACAATTCAACAACACTCACCACTTCATTAAGAGCAAGTCTGGTCATCGCATGTCCCCGTCGAGGCTAAGGGGCCTCTTAATGGAGACATCAACCCGAGTCCCACTCAGACTCTGGGGAGTCTGAAGAGTGGGGACTGGAGGTGTAGCCTTCATCCTGGCCTTAGAAGATGGCGATCAAGATGCTTACCAGACATTTTCAAAGTCACATTGCTGACTTCACAGTCACAAAAACACAATAATAAGGATGGGAACTCAATTCTTTTATGAACAAATGTTAGAAATGTTGTGATGGAGGTGTGGAGGGGATTAGTGGCTGACCTGACCTGATACAATGTCAGGTGGAGGTGGGGAGGGGGATTAGTGATCTCAAATTACTGACCTTCTGATGCAATGTCAGGTCACCCACTGTCGGGTTGGGGAACAAGAGCAAAAGCACTTCAGTCACTAAAACAGAGTACATATGATATCCCCATTACCTGGAATAATTGGTGCAGAGCTCTTTTGGGAATTAGAGATTTCCAGGTAATAAGATAACTGTGTCAAACCCGGAAAAATAAAAAATCCCGAAAAATTTTCAGAATTTTCCAGAAATTGCGCATTATTTCATCCTTGGAATTTGCTCCCAGACCCGGAAAAAAATCTTGACGAAATTATTTGGAATTTTCTCGGAAAATGTACCCGATTTTCAGCCTTGGAAACTCGTTCACAGACCCGGAATTGAGAGATTTTTTCCAGAAAATTTCCAAGCCAATTTCAGTTCTGGCTAACGGAGATATTATTGCAATGTGAACTTTATTGACGTCCTCTCACACACATGAAGAAACAACGGCAGTCACATTGCAGCGTTTGGGTAGATAATGCCCCAACCGACAAATGAAGCGAGTGATACGTTCCATATTCTGAGTCGGGGGAATGATGAATATCGTTAATGCGGGTTTGTTTTCATTGCAAATAGGGGAGTGGTCTAATGTATCAGTGTTGTTAATGCCAAATACCCTGTACTGTAAATAGGGACATCACAGATAGATGGGTACCTGTACTGCACAGTAATATAGAGATACGGCTACTCCTCGACATACGACCACCCGTTGTACCAAATTTTTTTCAAATTACGTATTTGCGAGTCCTGACGTTAGTGATTGCTCTGTGTACTGACAAATTTTTTGTTTGTATTTCCCTTTAAAATGGCTGGCAAGTATAAAAGTGAGTTTTGTGGTGCTGAGAAGAAAAAGAGGCACCCATTTTAGATTTTCTATGTACAGTATTACCCCGCTTTACACGGTTTCACTTTCCGTGATTTCTCATTTACGTGGTACCTTGCCAGAACCGGACTTTCACTTTCCGCGGTGCATCTACTCATATACGCGGTGAAATATAATTTTTTTTTATTTTTATTTTTTATTTAGCTCATAAAATTCATACAAATTACCCGGCCAGAATATAATTTACATTGCTGGAATTCTTACAATATGATGATCATTTTGAATATAAACATCATGGATTTTGCATTAGACATACAAATTTGAGATCTAATGTAATAATTTGGTTTACACAAAGCAAATATTTTATCTTTTGTGCAAAATATATGAAGTTTACATTCAAAATATTCCCTGACCTGCAAGGAATCCAGAAATGTCAATTATATTATCCTAACTTTAGTCTGAGGTATTATTTATTACTAAAAGTTAAAATCTAGTGTTTTCACCCAAACATTTCTCAGAGAGGTAGGAGCTAGTGAGCTGGGGTGAGGGGGGGGGATTTGAGTCCATTATTTGAATGGACATTAACCTGGCGACTGTATTTCTCTTAAATATTAATTGTGTGAGCATACCATCATAAAATTTAGATGTTATTTTTACTACAACATAGGTATTGTGTCGGAAAAAGTGGAGTTTAGGGGTTGGGCCAGTCTCTATTGGAATTAATCCCATATGTTCTGTTGTTCACTTTACGCGGTTTTCACTTTCCGCGGTACCCTGTGGGTTCAATTGACCGCGTAAATTGGGGTACTACTGTATTATCTTCACATTTTCGACTTACGACCTGAATTTGGGTCCCTAACCCCTTCGTAAGTCGAGGAGTGGCTGTATATAATAAGAACAAATAAAAGTGTAGGGGTGTATTGTGTGTGGGAGAATATTGAGTCTAGAAATGACCACAACACACGGGCGGTTGTTGGCATTGGCTGTGTACGTACGTGTCATTGTTACATAAGTTGTGGTAATGGAAATATAATTTCAATGAGCTACATAATGTGAATAATAAATAAAGAAAATCAACTAATAAATATTAATGTTGTTTTCAAGTATGACTCAACCATTACCAATATGTTAATAAGAAATAGCCCAAGTTTGAATGTAAATGGAAGTGTTTATTGTATTCCATGTAGCAAATGTAATTGTAATTATGTAGGACAGACAGGAAAAACACTGCAGCTCAGAATCAAACAACATAAGTATAATATCAGAACAGCATCTGAAAGCAGTGCCTTGTTCGTTCATGTTAGGAATAATAATCATCCCATTGCTTGGGAAAAAAGCTTAGAAGTATTCAAATCATCTTGTGTCACAGAAAGACTTCTGGTTGAAGCTAGTTTGATTAAGGAATTAAAATCAATAAACCTTAGTGATGGTCAGTTCAAAACTGATAATATGTTACATAAATTTATTTGTCAGTGGCCCAAGGTTAAAAATGCTTTGAAAACCTTTGATCTAGATGTAGGATAGTTATTTAGTGGGTCCCTTATTTTTGACCTGACCTGACTAGTCACGTCGCCCCCTTCTCTTAAGCTCCTCTACGTGTGTGTTGGTGTTGGTGTGGGGATTAGTGGATGACATCATTATGACCTGACCTCATGTTTAATAAGGTCACCCTGTATATTTAAGCCTCTCTCTGTCCATGTAATCCAGTTGCCTCTGAAGATGTCTTGAATAAAGACGAAAGCTAAGGTGCTCCGTTGTTTCCCTTTTCCCGTGTGATTTTATCAAGATTTATCTTATCCACGTTTTCATTGTGGATCTACATGATATATATATATATATATATATATATATATATATATATATATATATATATATATATATATATATATATATATATATATATATATATATATATATATATATATATATATATATATATATATAACCCCCCACCCCACAAAAAATACCACAATCACCAAAATGAGTTATTACATCGTATTAAATTCCCGGAGGCTCTGTTTACATAATGTAAACAGCTGATCGGCCTCACCATGTCGTCCAGCTTACCACAACATCTGTCTTCAGCACTTAGTAAATAATATTGTAGTCGGGCAGATCCAGGAATATAAATGGGGGGGAGGGGGTCAAAAAAGTTGAGGGTGAGAGCAAGCATCTTAGCCTTGGGTGAGAGAACATGGCAAGCACTGTGGGGAGGGTTTTTTTGGGTGCCCCCCACACACACAGACACACACACACACAGAAAAATTTTAAACTTGACCAATATCATGGACATTTTGAGGCCATGGCACTTGATATTAGGAGATAGTCTGAGGTCAATACTAATTACTTTTTACTTCTGTATACAAAAATGTCTGATTACAATACTGCATTTAAGAAAAAGTATTGAAATTTTCCAATGAAAAGTGGGGTCCTGACCCCCAGGACCCCACTGGTAGTGTATTTTGTGTGTGTATATACCCTGGTTTATTCATTAATCAGTTGTCTAAGTGTACAACTAGCCAAATCGAGCCATCATGTATCACTCAAAGGTAATAACAATGTTGTTGGGAATGAATCTCCAGTATGTTATAATGACCTTGTTGTAAGCTATTTGCTGAAAGCTCTCTCTCTCTCTCTCTAGGGAAACATCCTGATCTTTCAAAGGGTATTGCTGTATATGTTGAAACACATAATATGGGTACCTCTAATTACATTAATTTTTATGGGAAAAATTCATCACTATAAAACGTTTCATTACGTCGCAATTCTTTGGAACACTTCCCTGCCATATAATGAAGGCTCCCTGTACAGTATTAATAATGTTTGAGATAAATGAGAACTTTTTAATACCATTCAGCTTTTATAAGGAAAATGAAGCATGTGTTAAAAGTTGGTCAGGAAAATGTAACTCATCGCAAGCAAAAGTAAGACTATGTTAAGAACACATAATGTTACCTGGCTGCTCATTAATATCATGGTCAGGGTAACAAGTTTGGTGACTATGAGCTGCAAATGAGAGGTGGGTCAGTGACACTGCTGGGTAATTCAAATGAAATAAGTGAATAAGTTTGGAAGTGTGTGCACAGTACTTGAGAAAGAAATATGAATACTACAGTACCCTAAATAATACTTTGGCTAGTATTACAGAACACTTACCTTATATAAATCTGCTGTGGGTCTGACAAACTTATTAATCCCCAATGAAAATCCTTTTGCTGTACTAACTAAACTTTCTCCAGAAATGAAGAAGGAATTAAAATGTTTGTCTGGACAGGTTAATAAACACTCATTAATAAAGATAAAGCACTAAAATTTATATCTGTGTACTGTACTTTAAGAAGGCCTACTTATAAGAGCTTATAAAGAACCAAGGTTTTACAGGATATCAAATTTATATATTTTTATTAATTATATTTAGTTTTCTCTCAAATTATATATCAATAACTCCTTTTTGACTAGGGGCCGGCAATTAACAAAAAATAAAAATCCTTTTAAACCCAAGTACAGGTATACCTCGCTATACATTGCAATAATATACTGTGTTTCACTTACATGTTGATGAACTTGAGAAAAAATACCTTAAAATAAATCAATAAAATAATTAACATTGATAATTATGTGACAGTAATGCAGCCTTATAACACTCAACAACTGCTCTCTGTCCTCTCCACAGCATCAGTTTATGCAGTGGTACCACATTTGCTTAATTTCATCTGTTTACAATGAGCAAAGCCAACCCACCATCTTAAGTGAGTGTGATCCAAACATAGAACACAGTTATACAGTTAACATGTTAATAACCAATGATAAAAACAGATGTAAACAAAAACTGTTCAGCTTTTAGAAAAAATATTTTGAACATCCATCCTTATATGAAGAGGCAGGCAAGCTTGCAACTTGGTCTCACTAGATCCACCAATCGCTACCCCAGCTGACCTGCCTCAATACACAAATTTCTTTAACCAACTCAGGTAAATGTTATCAAAATAAATTTTATAACCAAATATTTATTTATAATAATCTAATTCAAGATTTAATTAGTATTTGCGAGAAAATTCTGACTAAGATTGTCCCCCAGAAACATAACCCCATATTTATGTTATGAGGTCTATGGTAAACTAGTAGTCACTTACCGTCACATATAGCGAGGTGAACCCGTACATACATGTCTCGGTAATTTGTAAGTTTCCGTCTTTTCTTTAAAGCTCTTTTCTTAGATAAACACACAAACCCCTTTCTAGTTCATTTCATATTAATGTAGAACATTGAACTGTTACAAAATGCATCAACCAATACTTGAATCATCAGTGTTCAACCTTTACCACAAACTGCCCATAGATGTCTCATGGCTGTAGCATTTATGGAAGAATCTTCAAACAGTATCCTGAATTAAATACAGGACACAGCTCACATGGGTCGGACTGATAAACCCTCAAATGGAATTGTGAATGTGAACTGCCAGAATAATTACTCTGAAGGCTCATAATCCTCATCTTCAGCATCTTCCTCCTCATCATTTTCTTGGAGCCAAGCACTAAGAGATGCATTTGATGGATCAGATGGGTTTCCATCACCATTCAGTTCAAAGTACACAGCATCAGATGAGTCTGAATCTTCACCCTCAGCATTAATATACTGAACAGTAAGCTCGGACGTAGTGGATGAGTTAGCATCGTCGTCGTCATCATCATCATTGTCATCATCGTCCCCTTCTTGGCTTCCCTCTGGAAAAGATAAAGTATTGGAGAAAAAATACCCGAAAATTCTTTACCGTAAGCCTCCAGTAGAGGAGATAGTAAGTGAAGCATAAAATATTTCCTCAAGACAATAACAATACAGTAAAGCCTCCGACAACGACGGTTCAATTAACGAAGATTCATATCTAAGACCCTGGTTAATTTAGGACCCAATTCAATTTACTCCATTATTTTCTTCGTATTTAAAATGAAAAAAAAAATGAAATTTTTGTATAAATAATAACCAAATCCCGATATTTAAAAAAAAAAAAAAAACACGCCTTGCTCACGGAGACTGCCGGGCTTCTTAGTGGTGACGCCAGCATCACTAGTGTAAACAGTAGCAGCTGGTGGGCCTTTTGTTTTCACGCATCTGAACAGCAAAAGGAGAAAAATTTTCTTAGGTTTCTTACAGCATTTTTGCATCCCTATTCAACAAGAGCAAGAGAGCAAGTGATGGTACAGTGATTTCTGCTATAACGCGTGTTTTGATGACGCGAATTTGCTCTAACGCGATTTATGAATAAGGAACGATATTTGTATAACGCGAACGCTTGTTTGCTATAACGCGATTTTTGCTTACTATTTCTCCAATTTTGTGGTACAGTGGGGTATGCTATAACGAATCTAATTGGTTCTAGAACCTTGTTCGTTATAGCATTCGTTCGTTATAGGATTAATCCGTTCCAGGCCCCCAAATACAACCACTTAACACTGAAAAATATAATATAAAATTGTAAAAATTGTAAAAAAGTGCATAAAGATGCATCTAAACCCCTGAAATAAAGAATATCATTAATATTTGTAATAAAAAAACAATAAATTAGAAAAAAAAATTAAATAATGTTCGTTGTAGGAGTTTCGTTCGTTATAGCATTCTCAATTTTATAGGTAAAACCGTTCGTTATAGGAATATTCGTAGTAGAATCCGTTCGTTATAGCATACCCCACTGTATTAACTGTGAATATAGTAAAGAAGAATATCAACAAGAAGCGTTCTGGTGATAGAATTCCTGGTGATGATCATAAAAGAAAGGATATAACACTTGAAGAGAAGCTCGATTTTATCAACCTCAAAATCACCCTTCTCCCCATCAAGTAAAGTGTTACATTTACTGTATGATTTCATTATTAGATATGAATGTAACATTTATTTAGACTGTGCTATCCTTTGTGTTAGGCTAACTACTAAATTTTTTCGATTTCGAGTAATCTGCACCTAACCCTATTTTCTCCATAAGCCCTGTTATTTCTATTACGCGATTTTCTATAACACGATATTTTACAAGAACACAATTATCGCGTTATAGCAGAACTACCTGTAGTGTTGTTTCAAAAGCTAATAGAAAGTGTATAAGCTTAGCCGAGAAACTAGATGTGTTAAAACGATATGAAAAAGGTGAGAGGTCTGTGGATACTATATGGAGCAAGCAATGAACATATTTTCTGAAGTGCATCCATTAACAGAACGAAGCATTAAAATTTAAATTAACACAAATGACCTCTACATAAAGATGTATAATGAGAAAAGAAAGCAGCTGTGCAAGGTTCTTTAGACACCTTTATTATTCGAAGGCCTAAACCATCAACTTCAGCAACACCATCAACTTCAGCATCATAAGCAGCTTCAACATCAACTTCAGGTTCAGTAACAGTTTCAGCAACAGCTTTATGGAAAGCTACAGCTTCAGCCAGAGTTGAACCTGATGACTTCATCACCTGAGTAAAAACTCACACAATATTCATTGGCTGTCCTTATGATTTAGATTTTACCACCATTGGTGAGTAGAATTTTTGTTTTAAATTCGTAATTATTATTTAAAACATATATGAACAGTAAATAAGTGTTGCTTTCATATTCATATGTAGAGAAATGACGATATGCTTTCACATGTACACACTTACTGTACATATGTTGGCGTTCCCAATCGTCTCGCTTTATTTCTTTGCCATTAGTGGTTAGCTACTTCTAATGTTCCATTTATTAACATTAAATAACATTAATTAAAACAAACATACAGGTATTAAATTTTTGTTACATTAAGTTCACTGCAGCTACAACTTGGGTCTTAATTCCTTCAGTTTCTTATGTAGAACCATCGTCACTCACGGAAACAATGCCGTCTTGTCTCCTCGTGTGTGTTTTAATATTCTATACAGTCAACCCTCGCTTTACGCGGTCCCACTTTACGCATTTTCACGTTTACGCGGTACCCTGCCGAACACGGAATGCTCACTTTCCGCGGTGTGTGTACCCTTTTACGCGGAGAGCGGCGCGAGCAGGGTGCGCACAAGGTCGCCCAGTCATCAAAACATTACCGAGTTCTTCACCCGCCACCCACCACAGCCGGCCCAAGTCAGTGATAGTGATAATGATAGTGAGGATATGGACTTATATGGACTTTGAGGGGTTTGACAAAGAGGCCCTGCAAGCCTCTGTGGTGGATAGTGATACAATTGATACAAGTGAGGGCCAATAATCTGCCCTCTGCCTCGGAACCAACCCCCCATCCCCGTGTGCCAAGCCATCTTTTCTACTAAAGTAAGTGTTAAAAAGCCTAACATTATTGATATTTCTCTTAATTATTAATTGTGTGTGCATACCATCATAAAATTTAGAAGTTATTTTTACTACAACGTAGGTATTGTGTCTGAAAAAGTGGAGTTTGGGGGTCGGCCCGGTCTCTATTTCAATTAATCCCATATGTTATGTTGTTCACTTTACGAGTTTCTCACTTTACGCGGGCCGCCGTGGGTTCAATTGACCGCGTAAAGTGAGGGTTCACTGTATACTATTAATGAATTGCATTGTTCATTTCACATATATAAACATTAATTCAATCAAATACATATTCAGTAATAAACAATAATGAATCTTTTGTACATTTTCTTAAGATAAATGACTATGTTTCCTTGAGTGCGCACGTACTGTATACATTGGCGTTCCACTAACAGTCTGACTTTTTCTTTAATATCAATCGTTACTTCTACTGTACATTAAATAACATTAACTAAAACATACATATTTTTTACATTAATTTTGCTGTTACAACAACCAGGGTCTTATTTTCTTCAGTTTCAGGTGGATAACTGACATTATGGGTGTAAACACTGACAACAATGCCGTCTCTTATCCTCTTGTGTGTTTTAATATTCTACGTATTATTAATTAATTGTATTGTTCATAAACAATAATGATTCTTTAGTACTTATTCTTAAAAAGATAAATGGCGCTGTTTCCTTAAATGCGCACAAATATGTTGGCGTTCCCAATCCATCTCTTTTTTTTTCTTTGCCATTAGTGGTTAGCTACTTCTATTGTTCCATTTATTAACATTAAATAACATTACTTAAAACATTTATATTAATTTTTTTACATAATTTTACTAAAGCTACAACCAGGGTCTTATTTTCTTCATTTTCTCGTGTAGAACTATCGTCCCGAACTCCCGGCTGTAAACACAAACGAAAACAGTGGCGTCCCATCTCCTCTTGTGTGACCATATTATTATTTATTATATTGTATAAGGTGCATTCAGAAACATTATTTAAAGAATATAGTTTGCAATTTTCATTAATTGTATTGTTTTGGGGGAAAAGATGGTAAAAAGCCACACAAAAGATATGAAAAGCTCACACTGGGGAACGCATCTCATTATTATTGCTTTATTTGAATGGTAATTAATGATTCACGATACAATGATTCACCTTACACCGCAATATTGGAGGACACATAACAGTTGTTATTTGAGGCTTTACTGTAACTAAGTTGAAGAGCCGTGACACAAGATTCCTCATTACACTGTGCTTTTCATTGCAACAAGAAAGCTATATTAAATAAAGACAACAACAAACAACACCACCAGTTTTCTCTAACTTAATATAAGGCTACATGAGAAGAGTCAACGTCATTGTCATTCTCCGTGACTGCTGCTATAAACAACCCTACAATGATTCACAGTCACTAATCCTGTGAGGTGTGAACTTCAGGTGCTACTGGTTTTCATCCCTGATATTTTCTGGAAAATTCACAATAACTTCTCAAATATTATAGGAGCCATTTCGTGTGAAAGGTGACGAATTCACTGTGGTCCCAAAAACCCATGTCCACATTTGGTTGGTTTTCCATTTTCATCCAGTAATTTTCCATGATTTTAGAGGGGCACTGGACCATGGGTGTGAAGTCTAAAAGTTGAGTTCTGATCCAAGCTGCAGAGATGAATCTGCCTCAGCCAGCAACCAATCAGCATTGTGGTTGTGTCTTCTGGCTCTAACAGCCAATGACCATTGAGTTCATGGTTGGATTCAACTGTTTTCCTACTCAGACTGTGTTTACACATGTAACATTATAATGTTCTGCACTCTTCTGTCATACATTTGAATTTCTTTCATTCACAATGAGTTCTTCTGCTCGTGACATAAACATATAGAAAAAGTAATGTTTTACAAATAATGGATCTGTCTCTTTATAGTTAATATTGGTTGTACAACTTTATTACTTAATACTTTCCTCTTAATTAAGCCTATATTCTACAATAATATACATTGAAAAAGAGACTTAGTTCATCAAAATACGAATTTGATGATTTTACGGTTATTCGCATTTTAAAACTTTGACGCACGTTTTCTCAAAACTTTAATTTGGCACTTTTGTGAGTGTTGCACAGAAAGCCCCAAGAAAACTTACCCTTAACAAACAGTAGCTCTTATGTTCACCCATTGCTCACAACTGTTATCTCCCATAAAACGGTGAACTGGAAGCAAAGGATGACCTTCAAAGCAGAAGGTCTTAAAAGACAGCTGTGTCTACCTAATTAGTAGGCACACCATGCCAACTATAGTAGCCATCTTGATTTCAGAGTCAATGTGCCACTTTGGATTTAACTTTCTGCTGATTATACTACATAGAAGAAAGAATATCCTTACCATCATTATCATCCTGTGAGTTCTGCTCTGGATCATCATCACTATCAGAGTCGTCTTCTTCATTCCCAAGATCATCATCATCATCTTCATCATCAGGCTGTAATGTGGGATGAACAATATTTTCAGGACAATAACTTACAATAGTGATACAAACTACTGTAATTACCAAACAAAGTTAAGCCAGACTTATACTTTTTGGGGGTAAAAAAGTTTTATTCCTCCCTGATAAGTGAACAGTTGTAACAGTGAGAAGACAACTATCATTAATGATCAAGGGACTAAGACAAACTATGTATGGGGTAATATTGTTTCAACTGCAGCCAAAATCACTCAAGAGGAGCAACACCGTTTATCTTTCTCATATATATATTCAGCCATTGCAAAAGAACAACTGAAATTAATGCTTCATCACACTCACTAGTTCATCATCGTCTTGCCTGGTCATGCCAATTTCGTACACTCTTACAACGGCATCGTCCGTCAAGTCATCAGTACCATTTTCCGTCTCAACCACCGCCACCTGTGTGTCATTTCTGTTGATAGCGAGGGAACTGACAACTCGACGAACATCAACTGTAGCTGTATAAGGAAAATTTAAGCATCAGATACCTTGTGACCTGATAAAAGTACAGTATTGAAGTCTCTATATTTATTAAAAGCTTACAGTAGTATAGGCTATCACACTCTCTCCTTTCAATGTTATTAAAATGAGGAATATTCTTTTTCAACAGAAGTAACTAGAAGGGTAGAGGTCCAATTCTACTCTTCAACTTACAAAAAAAGGATCGTGAGGGACAAGGTACAAGACAGTACAGTAGTCTGGCTCAAGACTATGGGTGCAGTTGATTGAATGGTAAGTGTTAATAAGGAAGAGGTAAGGTTGGTTAAACTGTAAGAATGCCAGAGTAGACCAATAAATGGATTTGGACTAAACTAGAACATGGTTCCTAAAGATTCCCATTACAAAAACTAAGAGAGACAAAAAGAGAAAAGTAATTTTTTGCATATTTTCATTATTAATTATGATAATACTGTACAGGGTAGTGAGAAAATAACATGAAAAAATTAGAATTTTTTTTCTTCTCATACCTTCAAATTAGGGCTTGCCTGTAATGCACTGTACCCGGTACAGATGGAGAGCGAGGACAGTAGGGGGCAGGGAAAAAACACTTTTATTTGAGTTGCAGGCTGCACGTTTCAGGCATCGTTTGTATGGCTGTAACAAACACCTGTGCAAAATTTCATGCCATTTCATGCATACTTACCCTGCCGCATCGCGAACGACTTTTTGTCAACTTTTAGTGTATGTATGTATGTATGTATGTACAGTAGGGGGAAAAAACACTTTTATTTGAGTTGCAGGCTGCACTTTTCAGGCATCGTTTGTATGGCTGTAACAAACACCTGTGCAAAATTCATGCCATTTCATGCATACTTACCCTGCCGCATCGCGAACGACTTTTGTCAACTTTTAGTGTATACCAAAAATTAGGTGTCATTTAATGTTTTCCAGGATAATGATAAATTTTACATGGGTGACATCGATTTAATTCACATGTTATTTTACAGGTACACCGTATAGAAAATCATTACAAGTTCATATTGAAATTCTTTTTGTGCGGAACCTTGGCATCATTTCTAGACAATAATCTTTGCCTAATATATCATCTCTCGATTCGTATCCCGTCACTTCAGTGCAAGCTTCAGTCATCACTTTTATGCCTCTCTCGACCGCCTGAGTGCTGTTTGGCCACTTGGGCACCACTAATGGTGTCTGAAGAATCATTAACCTGTAGATTTGACAGAGAAGCAATGTAGGAGGCTCAGTCTTGAGTTCATTCCTCCAGTTAATCATGGAATGATAGTTTTGCTTGCCACTTTAGTTTCAGGTCACCACCTTTCTCATGTTGACTACAGGAGGCACATCCTCATTCCCATCTCCATCTTTACCCTCCTCATCAGTATAGTTTAACAAATTCTCGTCAACAGCAGCATCAGAATCTTCCTCCTCCTCTTCAGATCTGCCAGTGCATTCTTCCCTTTGCTGATTCTCCTCTCTAATTTTTCTTATCATTGAGACAGCTTTTCTCTAACAGTCATGTCCTCATCTGCATACCAAGAAGAAGTTGATCTGTGTGGGCGAAGTATGCATTTCTCTGGACAGCCTTCTTCACTATCGTCTCCTCCTCACTATTCAGGTGTTTCATATATAGCAGGGACTGGAATACGTTCCTTGAGCCGTGTGTTACATAAGGGTGTATCTTGATGTAAAACTACATTGGAGCACTGAACTTTTTTATTGTAATGACAATTCTTTTCAACTCATGGCTGGGTCTTGATGTTGCTACACACAGCCTGAGGATTCTCTCCTAAGGTGTTCCACCTTGACACCAGGGAGGACCTGGCTCAATAGCAGCCAAGTCATCTTCAACAACACCTGTGATAACTCCTTTAATTCCTATACAGGTATTTCTGATCCCAGGACAGATCTTTCTCCACTTCATCATTAAACGGAAATCAGGGAAACTGACTGGCTGGAAGGCGACAACTGGAAGCTCAGACAGATTCCTTGATCTGCTTTCCAATGGGACCACGCCAATGCTCAGGACCACTTGGTTTACCATCATAGTGATAAAAACTGCGCGGAAAGGCAGCTCATTTCCGTGAAGCTGACATATGAAATAATGGATGGGTGACCAAGTAACATTTCAAGATGATGAATGACTCCATTTTCTGATCCTACATTTACATTGGTTCCATCACAACACACACAATGGGCTGCTGGGTTAGATTTTTCTCCACCAGAAACTCGTGAATAGTTTTGGCAATCTGCTTTCCGTGTCCAGTC